AAATGTGTCCAACAAGGCTAGGACACTTTACTAAGGAGCTTTATCAAAAAATGTTTAAGCCTTTAAACGTAGATAGAAAACGATTCAAAGCATTAACACACATTGGAGATACTTATTTGTTGACTAAAGGCACATATTATGCCACAGAAGGAAGAACTAAATGTGGAAATAAGCTTTCTATTTTGCTAAAAGGCAGGTAAGTTCTATGACATCCTTTTTTCAATGTTGTGGTTTGATTTGTTTTTGTTAAGTGTTATCTTGAATTTCTTGTTTACCTTTTAAACAGTAAGGTGTTAAGAAACGAAGCCGACCTGTCTGCAAAACTGAGAGACTATACGAAATAAACAAACTGTAATTTTACTCTTGTTGTTTTTTGATGATTGTTTTTATGCTTTTAAGACAACGTTATAAAGTTTTAAATAATTTAGATATGTTCCAATTGTCGTAACTACAACCCCGCCCCCTTTTCCCCGAATGTGACCGACCGAATTAGTTTTATTACTGGGTTTGTATTAACATAAGCAACACGACGGGTGCCACATGTAGAGCAGGATCTGCTTACCCTTCCGGAGCGCCTGAGATCACCCCCAGTTTTAGGCGTTGTTCGTTTTGCTCAGTTTTAAGTTTTCTATGTTGTGTTTTGTGTACTGTTGTTTGTCTGTTTGTCTTTTTCTGTTATAGCCATGGCGTTGTCAGTTTGTTTTCGACTTATGAGTTTGAATGTCCCTTGGGTATCCTTCACCTCTCTCTTATATATGCGTCTCACAATTCCTCATTCAAGTCGATGGAAAATGATACGTAGGTCGTTGTTAATATATGGTTTTACGCCAGATTTTCATGGCAATTCGAATCGTCCAACCAACATTTCTATTTTTGTTCCGATTTCTTCACTTTTTTCTATTTAAACATTTAAAAACAGTTTTGTTTTAACCCTCGAAATTGGAAATGATTTTAGTTCTCCACCACTTCTCCCACTAACCCCCAAACCCACCAACCCGACACACGCACACTCCACACACCTTCCCCGAAAGTAAATATCATTTATTTATTTACTCTGTTACCAATTGAATTTTATTCACATTTATCTCACATTTCTGGGTTTTTTGAAATTTGTTATCATATTCTTATCTGAATAGATTGATATCTTATGCTGCTATTTTTAAAGTATCTGTTCTCTAATGCTACAAGATTATGTAAATATTTTGAACTATATATTAGTGTGTGGCATACGTCTGGCTAGTTTTGATTGTATTATGGTTTATACATTATATTGATAAAATATAATGGAAAATATAATGTGTTGTATCTTGTAAGGCTTTATCGTTAATTAAATTAGGTTAAGGGATAAATATAGATCTTTCAGACTTGTACTTTTATTGCTTAATATAATGTTGAGAGAAAATAACGTTCAACGCTCTTTTATGAATAAATAATCACAACGAACGAACAAAAGCATAGCGTTCCTGTTCTGCATTATTTTGAACATATAAATAATCTAAAGGAAAACATTATATTATGAAATTGTAAAAACTCGTTGAAAGATGCAGGACTAATTAAGTACGTCTAACACACGTTTCGTCTACATGACTCATCAGTGGCGCTGACATCATAGCAGTTGGAAGGCCAAATAATAACGAACTAGAAAACCTCAAAAAAAAAGTTGTGGGCTTATCCCCGGTTAGTCGCCTGGTGTTGCTCAGTCTTTAGTTTTCTGTGTTGTATGTGTTTTGTAAACTGTTTTTTGTCCTTTGGTGGTATTTCATTTTTTGCCATGGCATTGCCAGTTCTTTAATTATCCCTTTGGTATCTTCCGCCTCTCTTGTGCCAAATTGGGCTACGGCCATCTATGCATTGGGGTTGAAAACCGTTATTGTTTCAAATGATTTTAATATTGTGTGGACAGTTAATTTACAGCAAATGACGTCATCAGTGTTATTTATTGTCAATATAGTAGTACTGACTACTTGGAGGTGATAAATAAGTGTGGGAACCGTACATCAGCAGCAGTATCTACCAAGTAGTTGTAAAAGCTCATCAAATACACATAGCTTATGATATAGTACGTCAGATAAGCATTTCATCCCCATTGACAACGGTCTTATCAAAACAATTTGAATATTTTGAAAAGATGATAAGTATTTGAAATAAATGTTTAGATTAAGCAGATAGTAAAATGCATTTTCTTAAGTAAAAGTAGAGCAAAAACGATAAATGGATGACGGATCTGTGAGATTCGATAAAACAGATGATTATTGTTTATTGTAGAAGCAGCAATTAAGCATTATGATATATTGCATTTTTCTTACAATTTATAATGCATTTTTCATTTCTGTTTTCACTTTTTATAATAATACATTTTCCTTTTCTTGGTATCAATATTACGTCAATTTCGTTTTTCAAGAGTCGTTTCAGTAACTTCCCATAGAAAGCGCCATTATTATTACCCATGATTATCTTCACCCTAACTTGATGTTTCCGCTCCAAACAAAAATATCACTAGGAAGCCAATTTTGGTCTGAAACTGTCATTTTGATCTGAACAGCTCTTAAAAGACTGAACAATGAATTATTAGTTCATGTTTAATCTTTCAGTCAATGTTTAGACCTTTCCACTAAAGTAAAGTCAGTACTTTTTTAGACGATTCGCTGGCAGCCAATAAGGATATGTTCAGTTTTTGTTAAGACTGTTCAGTAGTTGTCATTCACTATTTTATGCAATGCCTAAAGGTAAATTTGAACAAACTTTCAAAAACGGGGTGGGGGGGATCGTAATGTACCATGGATTTACTTTTCGTACCGATAGAACACTTAAGTCAATGGATATTTCATCGCGATTCTCCGTAAAGAATTGCAAAGGCAGGATAAAAACTGTAAAAAGATAAATAGAAAATTAAAAATAAGAATATTTTATCTGTGTCAGCCTAAAGTATCTGTTTTATCTGTAAGATGAATGCGCGGAAATGCGATAAAACGCTGCGCGCAAACGGAATGCACCGAAATGAATTAATCTATAAATATGAAAGTAGTCAGGTTTGTCAAAAGGCATTTCAACAATTCACGTGTTGATCTTTTACAGCTCTTTTGTATAAAAAGGTTGCGTACGAGTGTGATCAATAATCAATGGCATTTATATAAGCTGCCAGATTGACTGATCCAGAGCCCATAACTGAGGATTTACCTTCCCTGATCACTATTCAAAATTACACTGTGTCTCTTTCCTGGAACAATGAAACCATGGGGAGCCATTGTAACGGCCAAATGCCCTTGAGAAACAAATTGTACACGTTATTGCAACTCAAGGGAACCTTTACCTGTAGACAATCAAATAAAATTGCATGGATGTCTGATTATTTACAAAGTGTATGTCTGAAGCGGTAATGCTTTTAAATGTTTTATATTAATTTGTTTCTATTTTGTTATGAACGATGACTTTACAATTGTAATATAATCATTGAAACTGGGCGATTTCAATTATTATCACAGCAGAAATAAATAAACCAATCTTTACAAAAGATAACAGGCAACAGACTGCCATATTATATTTGTTCAGTGTTTTCTACATCGTCAGCCATCGCTTTCTGTCGTCTTGACATTTGTTTAACCAGAGTACGTCAATATCAGAAATATCTCGTAATCGTCCAGGGTTTTGCGATTTACAGAAATATGTTTAAATTCAGCTAAGGCTTTAAAAATCCCTTGGAAAATCCTAATAATGTACTTATAAATGGAAAAAAAATAATAAATAACGGGGATAACTCATGACGGCAGTCATCAACCAATTATTAGAAACTTCACTTGGGTTATATCTATGAATGCATTTCGGAATGAAATAGTTTTGTGAGGACTCAATCATGTTCATATAATTTCAAAGTGATATATTTTGGATGAGCTTTAAAGTTACTATTTTTCAGGCCAAACTTGCTCAATAGATTCAATTTGCGTTTATATTGTAGCTGTATCTGATCTTTATCTAAGATCAAATGTAAGCATATAACATTTTTGCGGTTCCAAAATAAATTCCTCACGTAAATTTCTCAGTTGACAGGTTAATTCAACACTAGATGATACGGTAAAAATCACAATACATAAACCAATCCAGTAAAAAAAGTAAATTATGCAATGCCTACACTGCAGAAGAAAACCACCACCAACCTCTCCGTTAAAGAAAAAGAAATTATTGTCGCCTGAATCTTAAATTTAAGCGATTGTATACATTTTTTCTTGTTAGATACACCTGTATTGGCCCTTTTGCTTTCTTTCGTTTGTATATTTTTGTCTGAAATTCTCCGTATTAGAATCTTAAGGACTATGTTTAATTTTATTGTACCACAATATTACCAAGACTGATTAGATTCTGTAACAATGAATTGAAGTTTACATACTAAGTTGTTAGGTTTCTTCTACTTGTAATTTGCATATTCTCCACTACTCAGTCGTCAGTGTTTTATGCAGTGTTTTGTATACTGGTGTTTGTCTATTTGTAATTTTTCGTTCTGTCTTAATTTTGTCGGTCTCTATTAAACTTATAAATTATGATTCTCCTTCTCGTATCTTTTTACAATGAGCAACGACTGATTCAGATAAATAAAGGCAACAGTAGTATACCGCTGTTCAAAATTCATAAATCGATTGAGAGAAAACAAATCCGGGTTACAAACTAAAACCGAGGGAAACACATCAACTATAAGAGGAAAACAACGAAATAACAGAACACAGAAGTGCAACAAAAAACAAACAACAATGCAACATTCATAGAAACGAACTATTAAATATCAGAGTCAGACAATTCGTATATGTAGAGTCTAATGCATACCTTTTAGTTTTAGCGTGAAGTTTTAAGTTTCATATTTACTTTATTTGTTTTAAATTTCAGGTTGAAAGTGATGTATCAAAATATGTTTCTACATTCCATAGAACCTAATCAATTCATAGATTCCCCTGAATATGATATGTTTGGTAACTATGAGACCGAAGAAACATACCAGGTAAGATTGCCATAGATTCCCCTGAATATGATATGTTTGGTAACTATGAGACCGAAGAAACATACCAGGTAAGATTGCCATAGATTCGGTTGAATGTTAACGATGCAGAACAGTTAACATCGCCTATAGTATAATGTGGATGGCCGTTGATACACAACATGTAACATCGTCTACAGTACGGTATGGTTGAATGTTAACGATACAGAACAGTTAACACCGCCTATAGTATAAGATGGTTGATAGTTGTCATACAAAACAGTTATCATCTCTAAAATTGTGGCATGGTTTGATGTTGTGATACATAGAAGGTAATATTGTTGCTACTTTGGCATAGTTAAAGAACAGGCTACATCTGTCATAGTATACTATGGCATGCAGTTGTGGTGCATAGTAGGTATCAGCTTCCACAGTAGGTTATATTTGGATGTTGCAATACAGAACAGGTAGCATGACCTATGATATGGCTTGTTATGTAACCAGCAACTGTGGTGCGAAGAAGGGTTACCCAGGGTACGACATTAAAAAAAATAGTGGTACGTCAAAGGTATAATCTTCACAGTATGTCGTGTTTCGCGATGTGATAAATGTAATGTACGATAGAAATAAACACTTCGCGTCCAAAGAGCTTTTCTGGATTCACTTTCATCAGGAACGCTCAAAGAGTACGTTTTAAAATAAAAATAAAGTAAATTATGAAACTATTAAGACATGAAGGAAACTATAACGTGTTCAGGTAAAAATAGTTTTAACAGAATAACAACATCAATTTATCTCCTTTCATTTAAAATGTATTTATACTAAAAGGAAGGCTATTTACAATGAACTAAAGATGAAGTCATCAGTTTTAATAATCCTACAGTCTGTCTTTGAAAAAAGACTTTTAATTGGAAACTAATGTTTGGTGAATATTTAACTGATTCTAGACATCATTAGACTATTGATAAAACAATATAGTTTGAATGAAAAGCAATGAAGCTCATGAAACTAGTTTTACCCATAAATATGAAACACGGATTTATTTGTTAGTACAGAAAAAAACGAAGACTATAATATATCTACTGAAATAATTTGATCGAACTTCTTTAGGATAAAAATAACCTTTATTTGTATTTTCATAGTCAAATCGTGATTATTTTTTCTTACGAAGAAAAACTTTATTACATTTTTTTGGAAACGGCAAAGACTGGAGAAATGACATTGTTACATTTCTTAATTGTCGTTGTCTTGTACAACTACAATAACAATATCTGATTTCATTTATACTAAAGTAAATGACTTTTTACAATGAAAGAGTTTACTTCAATGAGCTTATTTGTTCCGTGGAAATGTCATATTCGAATTTCCTTGTCGTTTTCAAACCATTTAGAACGTCCTTTTGCTGCGAAAATTTAATGTTGTACATACTTTATATTTGTTACTCTGTCAAGATAAATGATCATTCTTTCATGATAAATGATCAGAAGTTCACACTTAAAATGGGTCTATTCTAAATATGGACCGTAATAACATAAAGTGCAATGACTGTACACTAATATAATTCATCTTCTATGCTTGACAATCAAATAGTAACTTTCTGCCGTAACTAGATAGGTTTAGAAATGTATAAATTTATATAGCAATTAGTTTTCCTTTAAAATCGTATTTCTTCATAAAAAGTTATTTGTTATTTATTCTTTTCGTCCTACATTTGTTATCGGCTGATGCAATTATTTTTTAATGACTTTAGAGTCTACATTTGTTGTTTTTTTTAAACAAGACTGAGTGGAAGACGTCTTTGAACTCTCATCGGTATTTTTCCTCTAAATTGCGAGATAATAAAGTATGTGTATATACCTAAGGAAATTTACCCTTTTTGAAAAAGCTGTAAAGAACTTCTGTGTTTTCGGAGTACAACATACCACCAGCAGTAGTATAATTCTATTGGAAGCAATCGCTTCATTTGGAGTACCATCGTGTAGGTCGTATGTCAATCGCATCATTTGGAGTACCATCGTGTAGGTCGTATGTCAATCGCATCAATTGGAGTACCATCGTGTAGGTCGTATGTTAATAGATGATCGTACTTGATTTGTAAATACAAGATCTTAAAGTGTCAAAAAAGAAACAAGTTTAGTACAAAATCATTTCACGATGACAATCAAAAAGGGTAAAAAAAGAAACAAATTTAGTACAAAATCATTTCACGATGACAATCAAAAAGGGTCTTAAAAGGTAAATAAATAGTTCTCAATTTGAAAGTTAGAATTGAAAAATGACAATCCTTTTTAAAAAATACAAAAGTGCCCTAAGTTTTCTAAGTTGAAATTAACATTTTCATAGAATGTCTATTAATAGTTATTGTTATGATAATAAAATTATCCACCTGTCACCTGATTACGTACATCCCGACTTCCTTCATCTTTCCGTATGAAAAGAATCTGTGTTCTTATTATAGTATGTAAAAAAAGTTGTTCCTCGTCTTCTTGTATACTATTTTCACACTTTTTGATATTTGAATGACAATTTGGAAGGCATGACAGTTTGCGGATGTTCTTTTCCTTTCATACCAGATATCAATAATTAACAATTCAATATCAACTTAGTTCCAGAACAAGAGTAACAAACTAGATGTCCTATAAGTCCGCCCCCATGGTACTATCCGCTCTGTAGCAAAAGACATGGCGCCAATTAAATGGTTCTTTGTGCTTATAAATGTACAGATCATAAACGTATGTTATTGTGTCATAACCTCCAAATTGATTTTGACTGTTTTATTTGGCTGATTGGGATTGTTATGTCCCCAAATGTTTAATACTTTTTACCTTTTCAACCTTTTGATTTTACAAGGGTACCTAAAGAAGTTATTCCAGAAAAAAAACTTGTTGTGCGCTTTGGATTCCTATCATGTTTTTTTCATACAGTCATATTAAGACTTTAGATGGACAGTTGTTTACTCTAGAAACGATCATACATGTAGCACGTAATGTCATCTATCCTGCGTGATCTATTTAAAAAACTTTGATTTCGCCCAACAAACATATTGTAATGTGCCTTTATATAATTCCGCTGATTGGTACATTTTAAATAAATTGATGTAAAAACAAAATGTCAGTGTATGCCTTTCCCCCTAATTTGATTAAAAGAAGCATTGAATAATTTGAATGCTGCATTAAACAATATAATCAAACCAATCCCTAGTAATTTTATTTTGAAAACAAATTCACCGAGTTAATGCATATGTAATGCTTGTTTGATTGAATTTTATTCTTATCAAATTTAGAAAATCTTCTTAAATTAAGGAATGTATCGTCGTCATGCAAAGCTCTGATGACTTGTCTGGGTGTCGCTATATTTTTGATCAAGTTTGGTTATAATAGCTTTTCAAATTTTGTATAAAGTTTTGTATTTTCAAATATTATATTCGTGCATCACTGAGGAGACAAAATTGTCGAATGCGCTTCTTTTAAAGTAAAATTGCCATCGTGAATGTTATTACATGAATCACCGAAGCACTATCATGCAACAGTTGCTGCTGATATACTCCAGTCATATATTTTCTAATATTGATGACCCTTCTTTGACCTCAAGATATATCTATTGGTTTCTGTTCAAACCATAGACAAGTGTAATACATTATGGCAAGATCTAAATTGCCCCAAATCAAGAACAGTTTAAAATAATTTATGAGGGACTATGAAAAAGACTGCAAACAATACCTTTTCCTAAATGAAAAAAAAAATACAACAAAAGCCAACCATGAGTATGGGCCAGTGTTAAATTAGTTAATTGAAATCTCAATTTTTTTCTGTCGATCAGTGGTCTACAAAAAAAGTACATTAAAGGACATACTATAAAAATCAGTACGGAGAAAACGTTCATAATTAATCTGTTATACTAGTAAAATTGATCATGAACAAAAACGCAACACAAGTACAAGCAAAACGTCAACAACCAATATCGTTTCGAAGAAAATGCGCAGTAACTTAAAATAAGGTTAATGCTCTGATATGAAATCACGTCGTACCTAAACTATAAAATGCGTGGATGTTCATTGGTAGAGATTCCATACAGCAATTACAGTTCAGCAAGGCACTATCTTGTGTTCAATACCTTAAATACTTAATTTCAGAGGACTATTCTTACCATCAACTTCAATTGAAATTTATTCTAACCTTCTTACTAGTACACTGTTCTTGCTTTTGTAATTTTTGTCATCAATGTTGTATGAGCCCGTATTTCAAAGCATTTCGTCCAGAGGGTATCCGAACACGTTTATCCTCTTTCGCATCAAAAACTTATTTGGCTTTCCAAACTGTCTGGTCCGAACGAAGAATTTGATACAGAAACTTACTTAGTGTGTAGATGACTCGTATGTTAAATGATAATATTAATATTATACCTAACATATAGAGAGCTATACTTGTTAAATTCTTCAGGAAAAAAATGCTCGTTTTGTCTGGTTATTGGTTCTCTAGTTTTTTTTTAAGTGTTTTAATTGAATTGCTTAACTAATATGTCATTATATAAATTGAATTCTTTTATTGAGTTAAATGAGCTGACAAGTTAAATTCAAAATTCATTTTGTATCAGATACTTTTACACGAAAGAATTTTATGAGTGACAATAAAATAAGCAGCTTTCTACAAACCTAAATGGGTTTAATGATTAACTCATTGTGAAAAGTTTATAGCAATTACTTTCCCATGTGTCCATTTCAGCATTATTTCTTCATTTTAGTGATAAAACATTGTTCGCCATAAAGTGGGTTTCACAAAAAGTACAAAATTCTAAAACTGATATCGTTCGAAGCATTAATCTTAAATCATGCATAATAGTACTCTCAAATCGTACTTTCGTGTTAATTTGACCTGTTGACACAATTTGTAAGGCATTTCTGTTATTCAATGTTTACTTATTTGTGTTATATCTCGTCTCACTATTTTTGATATGTACCACCTTTGATAAGTGATAAATTTTCACTTCTGTACTCGTACTGAGAACAACAAATTTATTTATTTTGTAAAAAAATGTTTCCGTACTCCTAACAACAAAATTATTATATTTAAATTTACCATTGTACGTTACTTTATTTAACGCCATTTTGTCCCAGGTTAAAGTTGTCTTTTTGACATTGTTCTACATCTTTTTTATTAATATTGTATTTATATTGTGTCATAGTTCAAACTTATTCGTTCAGTGTATGTTTACTTGTTTTTGTTTATATGTCTTTTTGATCGAGTTAAGCCATTTCAATTGATATTCTATTGTGTGTCTTTTTATGTTGTAATGTTACACTACTGTTTCAGGTTAGGGTGAAGGTTGGCGCCTGTTAAAACGTTTAAACCCGCTGCAATTGTATGCACCTGTCTTAAGTCAGGAGCCTGTTGTTCAGTGGTTGTCGTTTGTTGGTGTGGTTCATAAGTGTTTCTCGTTTCTCGTTTTTTATATAGATTAGACCGTTGGTTTTCCTGTTTGAATTGTTTTATACAAGTCATTTTGGGGCACTTTATAGCTTGCTGTTCGGTGTGAGCCGAGACTCCGTGTTGAAACCGTACTTTGATCTATAATTGTTTACTTTTTGCACATTGTGACTTGAATGGAGAGTTGTCTCATTGGCACTCATACCACATCTTCTTATATAGAACACTTGTTTTGCTCGACACGTGAAAATATTCGCAGGCATAACAAGTTTCTGAAGTTTATCCTGATCAGCATATTCACAAGCTATGCATTTGTTTTGTAATCATCCATTGTCAGCATATAACCTGTTAGAAACAAATAAAACATATTTTATTGTAAACCTCAGGAAAATTCAAACCTGTTATTCCGCTGTTGATAAAAACGTATTTTTAAAGGTTTTTTTCTTTTTTTCTTTTTCATTTTTTATCACATAATGTCATATATTAAATACGCAGATTTTCACGTGATTTTTTTATTTTATGGGAGGAAAAAATGAAGTTTTTTTAAAATAGTAATCAACTATTTTTTTATCTCTTGGAGAAAAACAAAACAAAAAACATAAAATAGATGGGAAATGGAAACAGGTACACGTTTCCGCAACAGTGAAAATAGGACATACACATTACTGGTAGTAACTATAAACCAATCAATGATATCTACTAGGTAATGGCAGCAAGAGAAGACTTAAGGATGTACGCTACTCTATTTTTTTACTTTTTTGGTCAGATATTCGGAATCCCCTAGTTTTATCCATGTAGTGCCAAAGAAAAATTTGCCCGCTAATCCCTACTTTTCTTTTCATAATTTTTTTACATATAGTTTTAAAAACCATTTTTGAAACTCTTATAAAATCCTTGTTATTTTTTCATAGTTTTTGAAAGAAATAGGTGCCAATGTTAAATGCATGAAAACTATAGAGAGAATCATTTCTAGTCAAATGTTCAATTAAATATATCTCAAAAGCAAGGACACGGACCTATAGTTTTTTTCGGCTTTTTTAGTTCAGTTATTTATATACTATCAATTCAAAACATTCATTTAAAGGCTTGTACTTGATTTTCATATGATGAAGACATAATCTTTCAATCAGTTTAATTGAGGTCTGGAGCTGGCATGTCAGTAACTGCTAGTAGTCCTTTGTTAATTTATGTATCATTGTCATTTTGCTTAGTTTCTTTTGTTACCTATTCTGACATCGGACTCGAACTTCTTTTAAACTGAGTTTTACTGTGCGTATCGCTGTGTGTTTCTTTATTCTACATTGGCTAGAGGTAAAGGGGGAGGGTTGAGATCTCACAAAACATGCTTAACCCCGCCGCATTTTTGTGCCTGTCCCAAGTCAGGAGCCTCTGGCCTTTGTTATGTCTTGTATGCTTTATAATTTTAGTTCATTTATATGTTTTGGGGTTTAGTATGACGTCCATTTTCACTGAACCAGTACACATTTTTATTTAGAGGCCAGCTGAGGACCACCTCCGGGTGCGGGATTTTCTCGTTGCGTTGAAGACCCATTGGTGGCCTTCGGCTTTTATCTGCTCTTTGGCCGGGTTGTTGTCTCTTTGACAACATTCCCCATTTCCATTCTCAATTTTATTGTTATTTTGAAATTTGGCTTTATCTGTAAAATACTTATTTCAAACGGGATATCACATCTTCGTTTTTACGTTGATTATGTTTATAGAGCCCGTTAATTTAGATACGATCCATGTTAATCTATCGATCCTTTGAATTAATATATAAAATATCATTCATATCCAGTAATGAAAACTTACGGTCAAACATCCTGCAATGTCAATTCTTATATTTAGCCATTACACAGGGTCGTGTTTTTATTAGACTGTTTATGACGTCTTTACACTTAAAATACATTGGATGTGCACTGATTGATATTTTAGTTTGGAAATCCAATAAGATGCATCAAAGGGTTGTAATTGGCTTTGAACTAGCTTTCAGAACTGCAGGTACTCTCGATACTGTTCGTCTTTGGTCTTTTGTTTGTTGTTTTTTGTGCTATTTGTCGATTTGATAAGTCAACTGTTTTTACAGTTTATACTCTTGGTGTGCTGCTACACCTCTGTCCCAGGTTAAGGTGAGTGGTGAGTACTAGCTAATATGTCTTACCCCGTGACATTCAATATGTGCCTGTCCTAAGTCAGAAGCATGACATTCAGTGGTTGTCATTGGTTGTTATCATATTCGTTTTTGGTTTTTTGTTTTGAACATAAATCAGGCCTTTGGTTTTCTCGTTCGAATTGTTTTACATATAGTCATATAGCTTACTTTACTTTATTAGTTTTGCACATTGTTAAAGGCCGTATGGTGACCTATAATTGCTTAGATCTAGGTTATTTGGTCTCTGGTGGATATTTGTTTCATCGGCAATCATATCACTTCTTATTCTTATATTCAAAATAGTTCGTGAACCAATGGCCATCAAACACTAGCAGGGATTCAGATTAGAACGGAAACTAACTACAATCTGTCAGTTTAAGTCACTTGACACACAGATCAGTTTCCTTTCCCTCTGCACAAAGCACCTTAAGTGTGAAAATCAATTTTCTATTTCTTTCCTAGGCGGTTTTATTCCTTTTTTGTCGCGTAGAAGTTTGATTAGTTATCTAATATAACCCAGCTCCAATAAATAAGACGGAAAATTTAAATGAATACTCTGACTATTTATAAGACTAGTATTTATAAGTCAACAATTTTAAAGTGCGTCGGCTTATGAAGTTGAAACAGTCTAAGTATAAAGTAAACACAAATTGATATGTCTTATTTTAAATTCGAAACAGCCTGTTTCACATCAAAACATAAGATTATTAATGCTGACAGTTGTGAATGCTATTTAGAAGTATTCTGGTAGTGTATGCTAGTGTATATTAATCCCATCAAAATATTTTTGGCATCTAGATGTTAAAATCTCTAAAGAACTTATGTTTTACTGTATTTGTACGCTTTTTACACTCTTTAAATGAATTTATGGTATAATGATAATTATGTTAACTATGCAGACTATTTTATTAATGACCTAATAATTTGATTAGGCTCCGTGTTGAAGGCCGTACTTTGACCTATAATTGTTAATTTTGTATACATGGTGACTTGGATCGAGAGTTGTCTCATTGGCACTCATACCACATCTTCTTATTTATATATGAAGAGTAAACATACAGTCTACATCAAAAGACAAAAAGATATAGGAAGATGTGGTATGAGTGCCAATGAGACAACTCTCCATCCAAGTTACAATTTATAAAAGTAAACCAGTATAGGTCAAGGTACGGCCTTCAACACGTCAACTTGTCAAGCTCTACTCGGCCATTGTCTAAATTAAGGCGACAATAGTTTACCAATGTTCAAATCTCATAAATCTACGACATATCAATGTAACTAACAAAAACTCAGGGAATCGCACAAACTCTTAAAGGGGCGAGACCAAGTGCGTCGACAGGATAGGCGTCTCCTGCTATGCGTGCATCACCCGCCATGTCAATTCCCACTCCGTCAAAAGGTCACAATCGGGAAAAGGACACAGTCGGTAAAATTATCTAAACAAGAAGCAAACACTTCCCTTTGTATTTTCTCCCTGTTTTTATAGACATATGGAGTTTTAAAAATAACAGAAGTTTGCTAAGACCATATAGTCTGATCTTAAATCATGATTATATGCTTAACTCTTTTCTGTCATATATCTCATATGTCAACTCTCTTTACCTGACTTAATTATGGGTTTTGTAGTTCCTGGTAATAGCACTGATATTTAAACTACATGCAAAGGCATTTACTGATGTTAAAACAAACGATGATTTATTATTTCAGGTGTCTATTGTAGCATCTGAAGACAGCTTTCTTCTGACAATGTCTGTCATAAAACTTAAGACATATCTAGATACCGATCCATTTATCTCAAATGTGTTTTACAACGTGGTTGGAAAGGACATTAGCAACAAGCTTTATCAAATCCAAGAATTGTTATTAAATAATCCAGACTATATGCAAGCATTGCCAAGTCGTCAGTCATCTATGGTCAATCTGAGAAGTGCCCTTGTAAAACAAAACTCTTCAGTTGCATTACCGGTATATAAATTGAATTGTTTTGGAGTAGACCTGAAAGGTGAATATTGAAAATTAACGTAACTGTCATTTATTTATTGTAATGGTAATGATAAAAAAAAAATTCCCCTTTCACTACGATTAAAATATAGTTTGTTGTTGTTGCTAATGGACATTTACCCCACATCTCGTTTGTTTCAAATTTAGAACATGCTTAATGCTGTTTAGTACTATTCACAGTTCTATGAAGCCTAGAAATTGTATATGTTCCAAAATGCATTTAAAAAATAGTAATTGTTGATTTGACAATTTTCTATTTGTTTTTCGTTAAATCAAGTTTTCAAAACCTATCGGGCTTTATATGCCGTATAGTTAAATGTCATGTTTTAATGACACTTTTCCAAAAAATTTGATCAATATAGAATATCTTTATTTTGAACTAAAGTATGATCAAGTGCATACATTATTGATTTTAATATGACGAAGACATAATCTTTCAATCAGTTTAATTGAGGTCTGGAGCTGGCATGTCAGTAACTTCTAGTAGTCCTTTGTTCATTTATGTATCATTTTCATTTTGCTTAGATTCTTTTGTTACCTATTCTGACATCGGACTCGGACTTCTTTTAAACTGAGTTTTACTGTACGTATTACTATGTGTTTCTTTATTCTACATTGACTAGAGGTATAGGGGGAGGGTTGAGATCTCAGAAAACATGTTTAACCCCGCCGCATTTTTGCGCCTGTCCCTAGTCAGGAGACTCTGGCCTTTGTTAGTCTAGTATGTTTTTTTGATTTTAGTTCATTTATATGTTTTGGAGTTTAGTGTGACGTCTATTTTCACTGAACTAGCACACAATTTTATTAAGGGGCCAGCTGAGGACCACCTCCGGGTGCGGGATTTTCTCGTTGCATTGAAGACCCATTGGTGGCCTTCGGCTTTTGTCTACTCGTTGGTCGGGTTGTTGTCTCTTTGACATATTCCCCATTTCCATTCTCAATTTTATTAAGATTTCAGTTTAAATGATCTTATACAAATCATAATTTCGTGATTTTCAAATACAAAATTTTTTGTGTTTGCTTTTGATTTCAGATCACCAAAAGCCCTACCTGCAAATAAGCAAAAATTAAAAATTAAACACTCAAAATGGTCGGATTGTTATTATAATATTTCGAAAACCTCCGGGATTTTTTTAGTTTTTTTGTGTTAAATTCAATTTATGATGTAAACTTGAAAAGTTCGTGTCTGTAAAGTATGGAGAGCAATGCAAACAATTGTATGTGTATTTTTTTCTTTATGACTTACATTTCAGGTTGGAACATCAATCATAATTCCAGTGCTGAAGAGACAGTAACACATTACCCTGTTGAAACTTTTGAAAGTCAAGTATAAGTGGAGTGATACTATACATACTTTTGTTATATCATAGGTACCAAAGATTGACCAAAGAACATGGTGTATAATAAACATAAGATGCTCAACATACTTTTGTTTATTTACTTAAGAAATCTTTACAATTAATTAGCATTAAGGTATTCGTACCGTACTGAAAACGAGAAGATGTGTTATTCATTTTTCTGTTCAATATATATATTTGTGTGAAATGTGACTTTTTTTATACAGCACAATTTCTGACAAAGTAGCTCCTTTCTCAAAGTAATATTCCACCAAATTTGGTTTCGTAGCTTCACAGATTTTACGGTATTGATTAATAACAGTTGACCATAAAGAAGTGTTCAAGTATTTGTTCCTCCCCCAAAACAATTCCGTCGTCTTAACTAATTATACTTTACAAAATTAACGTATCTGTTGGTAAAGTTGGTGAAATATTTAAATTTGATTGGAAATTGCCTTCAGCTGGCAGTGCTGTTTGTTATCGTTCTGTTTTCAGTCCTTCCGATTATATGTTGATACAATCTTCTTGATGACCCTCGGCTCGTCTTTTCTGAATATAGCATAAAAGGCAAACGTATATTCTAAAGATTACCATAGCAGAAAACTGTACATAACATTATCGTTCTGATATGCGTGAAATGTTTGCCGCTGAACATTGAACACCAATCCCTCATCATCCTAAAACGTACAAACATATCTTTCATTATCTATAAAAGAGTCCCTCGAGCAGGTACTGAAATCTTTAGTATTTTGGCAGTGTTTTGAAATGCTAATTTTGAATTCTTTAGAGCAGCATGCTTTTCAAAGATATATCACAAGGCATAGCATTGTGAAGGGACAAGCACAATCAAAAATAGTTCAAGCTCCAATCCCCACACTTAACTACCGTCCCTTTAGAAAGAAACAATGTGACTGGAAGCATTGTTAGTAAGATTTGATATAAAACATTGTACGTGCTTGCAGGTGAACAAATCTCTCTTATAATTTCTAAATCATACGAAGGCCACATGTATTTAAAAAAAGTAATGCATAAATACTATGAAAAATCATTCCGGTAACAATTGATTTGTGTATAAAAGATTCATTGAAGTCAATTTGCTATAGTGTGCAGATTATCTGACAAGTTTTTGTTTTACTTCAATACCGATAGAAATAACAATATCCACGTTTTTTTTTCGGAACAATTGGTTAAAAAGGTACAACTGTACACAAAAAAATTTACAACTGTACATCAAAAAAGGTACAACTATACACAAAAAATATACAACTTTACACAAAAAAAGGTACAACTGTACACAAAAAATATACAACTGTACACAAAAAAGGTACAACTGTACACAAAAAATATACAACTGAGGTATAGCTGAAAGTTCAGTGAAATGATGTATAAATGACGTGAAAACAAATCGGACACCACTACGACACGAAGAGTGAACAAGTCTGATTACTATACTCAATGAATGTCCTACGGATTGGGAATAGTTCAAAGAGGTCGACAAAGCACTGTCAACGGTAAGTAGATGCGTCCCGTAACATTCGGGAAACTCAGCCGATTTTGTCTAGCCGGATTACAATTGTGACTATGTCGTAATAGATTCTGCTGTATCGGATCAAAATCGTAACAATGTCCTGCGTTGTTTGGACGGTGTCGGGACGGTATTCTGTGGAACGGGAATGATCTGCAGAAACTTTTCATATCCGTTTCTTGTCGATTGAACTAGGAGTTCTGGTATGATTGCCAACGCGACAACTATCAATCAAAGTTTAAATGAAAAGGATGTAAGCAATTATAGGCCAACGAGCGGCCTTCAACAATGAGAAGAACTCATAACGTATAGGCTCCGACATGAAAAATGTGAAACAATTCAAACGAGAAATCCTACGGCTTAAATCACAATAAAATAATTTACAAAACATAAATACGACAGACATGAACCAAAGACAACCACTGAAAACAAGGGTACCTGTAAAGTGCAAAACGAAATAGAAACGGAACGGAACAAAACAAAACGAAACGAAACGAAACGAAACGAAATAGCGCAAAACGAAACGAAATGGAACGAAATAAATATTTATTTTATAATTTTAACTTAAATCTCTGCCAAATGTCTTATAATACAATATTTGTGCATCTGAATTTCATTGTTTTAGTTGGAACAAATCAAATGAAACCGGCAGAGGGCCGAACGTTTATTTTCGGGGGGGGGGGGGGGGGGGGGGGGGGTCGTACATACCGGTGCTTACTGCCTAAGTGTTAACTTTTCACACGTCGTTTTGAATGATAAAAGTTTTTACGGTAAAATATTACCCTAGAAAGAAAAAGGGGTGGTACACCTGAGATAAATAATATAAATAGGACTATATTTCAGAAATGGGATATTGAGGACACGCAAGTGGGTCTCAATCTAGATTGGTTCTATGACTAAATGAAGGTATACACAGACGTGCCGCTGGAATGGGTCCCTTTTTATATTTAAATAATATTAATGGCATACACTGAATTTCACTGAGGTCAAATATCAATGGGTCAGTAATTTTCATCCTCTAAATTATAATAGATGTTTGTTTAAATGCTGTTTTTTCGTTTTTATTCAAATTAAGATATCAAAACTTGTACTTGGATGGAGAGTTGTCTCATTTGCACTCATGCCACATCTTATTTATATTGTATAATATGTGATTACTGAGAAAACTATGAATGACGGAAACGCAACACAAAATTTCATTGAAATGTAACCATTCTTTTAAGACCAAAGACAAATATGCAGTTAAATGGTTACACAATGTTGATTATGGCTACTGAAATGTTCCTAAACCGCATTTTCCTTCACCAGCAGACTGTATTATAGCTATATACAGTAAGATTACTAAGTGTACGCACACTCGCCGGAGGTAAGGAGATTTAAACCTAAGATAAATCCACTGCAATGGGCTTTATTTTTCGGAATTTTGGCAAATTCTGCTAATTATCGCGTGCATAGCGGGAAAGTTGATCTCACTGAGGATAGCATCCATAGCGTACTCAAATCAATAATTGATTGAAATTGTAAAACCCGACCCGAAATAATTCGATTGAGTTCCCTAAAAAGATCAGAAATTATCCAGCATTTGAATATTTAATTTAAGCCTTAAGTATCAAGAAAATAAATAGATCATACCCTAAATTATCCGAATTTAACTTGACACAAATCAAATAAAATTTTACTAAGACAAACATGTGACAAAAGGGAATTTGCATAGAATTACAAAACACGTACCCGAAATCTGACATTCTGACAAAAAGGCTAAGCGAAATCTGCTTTCAATACCATTGCAGACCCGAAAGACCAATGCCAACCCGAAATTTCTTGAAACTCACAAAAATGCCCAGAATTTCCTCACATAAACAAACTGTAGTTATCCCCCAACCCTCCCAGTTCACCCGAGAAGACAGCCATCACTCGTAACCAACATAAGTTTACACATCCATACCTAGACCTGACAGCGAATAAAAGCGTAAACAATGATCTATTATTGATGCTTTCGTTCGATATGGGTGAGTCGCGGCTGAACGTCAGTCCGGGAGCAAATATTTCATGTTCACGACAACAAATAAGGGAGCTACCATTTGATTTTTATGGGGGGCTAGGATGAAATTTGAAAAAAAGGCAGGACAGGAGTTTTGAGTAATAAAAAAAAGGCAGGATGGCAATTTATGTAAAAAAAGTCAGGATAAACTAATAAAAAAAAGGCAGGACCGAATAGAGTGAAAAATAAAAAGGCAGGACAGAGATTACAACTACAAAAAAATGCAGGACAAAATTTGTCATCCTAGCGGACCCATATATATCAGTTCATACTGTCTTTCCCTATATTGGTACATATAAAGACATTGAGCGGTGACATTTAAGTTGAAATTGTAAAAAAAAATATTTGTTTCGTTTCATTTCGTTTCGTTTTGCTGTATTTCGTTTCGTTTTGTTTTGTTCCGTTCCGTTTCTATTTCGTTTCGCACTTTACAGGTACCCACTGAACAACAGGCTCCTGACTTGGGACAAGCTCCTAAAGAATGTAGCGGGGTTAAACATATTTGTGAGTCCAGATTGCGTCCAGATCTGTCTGGTTACTTTCTGGTATCTGAGGGATCGCATTAGGGAGAATCCGGAATGCTGTCGGAACAGATTCGGACGTTTTTTTTAAACATGCAAAAGATACAAATTGGATAAGAATCGGATGGAGAATGGGATAATCGGGACGAATTGACAGGAAACGATCGGATTGGGATAATCGGGACGAATTCGACAGGAAACGGCTGGATCGGAATAATCGGGACGAATTCGACAGGAAACGGCTGGATCGGGATAATCGGGACGAATTCGACAGGAAACGGCTGGATCGGGATAATCGGAACGAATTCGACAGGAAACGGCTGGATCGGGATAATCGGGAAGAATTCGACAGGAAACGGCTGGATCGCTTCTTGAACAATGCATATGATTGTTGTCGTGATCAAATAAATGTTTTTGAAACTTTTAATAATTTCAGCAACGAATTACAGGACTTTTATTATACTTTTTACTATTTTAATCGAGAATGGTCCTATTAAGGACGGCAGCAGTTAAAAAACCTGAATGTATGACTGAGGCTTTATTGAACAATCAGTTCTTTAAAAACCAGATGAAAAGATAGTTCACTGCATAGTATCTCTAATCTCTGTTGCTCTTTTTTCGTCTCTTTTTTTGTTGTTGTTGTTGTGTTGTTGTGTTTTTGGAGAATATTCCTCTTTACTGCCAATCAATAAAACAACGACCATACAGGAACAAGTTTTTTTTTTCCTTTTTTATTAAATAAATGTTGTTTTAATTCTGTTTAACTAATTTTCAATAAAGACAAACAATTATTTTTTTTCACTTCCCCTCTAAAACAATTGATTTTTTATCAAGAAATTTTGAATCGAACAATTTATATATATAAAAAAAAAAACAGAAAAAAGACATGTTCCCACAAAAAATGAATGGTCGGTACCTTACTTGATTTCCATATTCCGTTTTTCAATGTGACCTAAACTAAAATTAAGGTATAAGATATGTCTGCATACCATAGCAATTAAAGATTGAGAACAGAATTGGTCAACAGACCATTATTATCCATTACAGTATTATGCAACAGTTAATCGCCAATGTTAGCCACTTCAGAAGTTATATCTTGGGAATTTAATTCTGTATTTAAGCAGAACATTATAAATCACAATCGTAGTGTCATTTTACTACAAGTTTGCAAAGAAAGCAATTTAGCTGTATTCAAATGAAAGTCATTTCCTGGAAAATTCAGAAAAAAAAAACATAAAGAGGAGATGTCTACGAAATGTTATTTTGCGATTAATTGGCTTTGCTTGGGAAAATGTTAAACTCCAACTTAAATTGCATCAATAAAAGCAAATGTCGAAATTCAATTTTTTTTTTAATTTAAATTCTGTGGAAAACTACAATATGCATCAATAACGAGAAAATTCAAGAAAATATGTTTCTAAATAAAGATATCTTTTTGTTATATTTGTAATAGAAAGCTAAATGCAATTTTAATTTCACCAATTTACTTTGATTTGAAGAAATGATTTCTTCACACTTCAATTAGCAAACTCTCATTTGGGGAGGAATGTAAAATGTTTAAAATTGTTGTCAATCACTTGGCCCTTTTCATGTTATATATCCCAGATATTATTGTTCAAGATTATCAGAGATAATATTTGCCGACTCATTCAATTGTGGATTTATTTTTCCCGATTACGTATAGTATAGATTTTTGAATATGGTTCTGGAATTTTGATAGAGGAATGGGGTCTTTACAAATTAATGCCAAAGTTCCAGTCCATCCTTCAATTTTGGCGGCTAGCTTGAGTCTAGCTCATTAATGATCTAATGGAAAGACCTTCTAATTGTACTTTGAACTGAATTTGATTCAAAACTTTTGAAAATACTCACAGCAGGCACTTTGGATTAAAAAAATAGGGTTTCATACCATTATGGTTATGATCATAACAAACAAATAGACAACATACAAACAACAACAACAACAACAACAAAATGATAATGAGATTTTATTCGGTATAAGAACCATTAATGCATTATTAACACAAATAATTAAGAAATGTGCGGACTATAATTGTATGTATAACAGGAAAAAAATCAAAATAAATGCTCGTGAAAAGCAGTATGTGAAGTAGTCTGACCCTATATTAAGTGAGATATTTCAAGATGAAATATTGGTGCATTAAGAAAGTGAAATAAAACGAATTTTGACGATTTCTTTGAATTCTAAATCATTGCCATTTACGCACAAAATAGGCAAAACAAAGAAAGTTTCTATTTAGACATGGTGTTTTATTATTCAAGAAAAGACTAATGGTGTTTGGTTGCCCTTGACATTTTCTCCCACTTTTTGATTTAGGCCAAGGAAACATAGAGCGCAGGATTCGACAAACTAAAATCCTGCATGTAAGTCAGATATTTTACTTGTTATAACATAATGTTACAAGATCTTGTTGTCGACACATGCGCTATAAGTTTCAGTTCCTAACACCCAATGTTTCACCATCCGTGTTTTCTACGAAATTGTTGGGGAAAGATGGTATTTCTGCTAATGTTGACGTCATAAAAACACTAATGCGTTATATTTGAAATGGATCTATTTCCTATCTTGGTATTGTATTGACAACATCGCCTCAGTGTAACTAGTGTTAATTAAATCAAAATTTGAAATTCAAGCTAGAAGTATGGGGCATATTGGGGATATTGTACCTCCTTTAACAGACATGTGAAAGACTTCATTTCTTTAATAGATATTCATTGTTCCAAACGTTGAGTACCTGTTATTTTTACGCAATTCCTAGGTATGAAATTATTCACATAATATAGTTTATAGTCTTTGTGGTCATGGTGATGCGTTAATTTTCTTTGTCGGAGTATTGAAGAACTTCTTGCAACTTTCAAGCTGATTGATATCAGATAAATAGTATTGAGATTTATCCTTTTAACATTATGTATCAACATTTTTATTTCAATTATTCTTCTCAATTGCAATTTTTTCTCTCGTATTTAGTGTATGATATATGTTCTTTTAGTGTTGACGTGATATTGTGTTAATTTGTTCATTCGGTATTTTCTGAAGAGTGTAGTGAGGTATTAGGAGCCGGAGAAGCTAGTCAATTTCCATATTCCCATGTTATGTCTCATTACAAATAATGATAAATCTTAATTGTGATTGTCTGTTTAACTTCCAGTCATTGTTATAATTGTAATGTCAATTTTACCAACAGTGAAGGAAAGACAACTTCATCAGATTAACGAACAGTTAGATGGTACAATGTATATACCACGCACATGTTGACTCAATGATTTAGTTAGCATCAACCAATGCACAATACATAAATTTGACTTGAATATATTGAGAATATGGAAACTTCCCTAAGCTGAATAGCATAGGAAATCTGGATTTTCACGATGAAAAATCTATTTACAATTTGTAATCACACATATGTCTGTCTAAAGCTTTTTTTTAATTTATTAGATTAAAGCATGGAAAACTATCAGCCTTTGTTTTCTACGTAATTCTTGTGACATCTTGGTTTTCTCTGTCTTATTATTATCTGAAAAGGATAAAATGAGAAAAAACTCTTATAGTGCAGTAAAAATAGTGTCACACAAAATACTAAGTACAAAGTAATACAAAAGTAATAAATATCATGATAATACATCCAATTAAACGGTAAAAGTTATGTTGCATGCTTATATATAGAAATAAGAAGATACGATATGAGTGCCAATGAGACAACTCTCCGTCCAAGTCACAATTTGTAAAAAGTAAGCAATTATAGGTCAAAGTACGGCCTTCACCACGGAGCCTTGGCTCACACCGAACAGCAAGCTATAAAGGACCCCAAAATGACTAGTGTAAAACAATTCAAACAGGAAAACCAACGGTCTAATCTATATAAAAAAAAAAACGAGAAACGAGAAACACTTAAAAACCACATCAACAAACGACAACCACTGAAACAGGTTCCTGACTTAGAACAGGTGCAAACAAATGCAGTGGGTTTAAACGTTTTAACAGGCGCCAACCTTCACCCTAACCTGAAATAGTAGTGTAACATTACAACATAGAAAGACAAACTATAGAATGCCAAATGAAATGTCTTAACTCAATCAAAAAGACATATTAACAAAAACAAGTAAACATACACTGAACGAATAAATTTGATCTATAACACAATATAAATACAATATTAAATAAAAAAGGGGGGATGTAAAACAATGTCAAAAAGACAACTATAACCTTGGACAAAATGGCGTTAAATAAAATAACGTAAATGTTTCACAAGAAGGTATATCAATAGTTAGGAACAATATCTTGTTTAAGGGAGATTGCTAAATGTCTAACAAAAACAGATTTAAACATACAATAAATGTTCTTTCTGTGTGTGATTGCGATAACCCAGATTTATTATTCTTCGTGTTTAAATGCCAGTTTTGATAGGTCAATACCAGATAACATTTTACCCTAACTTGGATCAGTGGGCAACTCTTTAAAATCTTAACCCCTCATTTTAATCATCAAAAAGGTGTCAGAACAAAAATAGTAAATTAAAAAGACAACAATAACAGAAATTTCAGTATATTAAATAAAATTACACATAGCTAAGAGGGCGATAGTCTGAGAGCAGATCATGTAGCTCTTCGGTTTCGCTTGGTTGAATTTTTTTTCTCGTGTAACAATTTGCTCTATCTAAGTTTTATAATTAATTTTAATTTTCTTTGACGAAAATCATGAGTGATGAAATGTTGAAAGATATCAACTTTCGTATTTTGATACTGAAATAGATAATCGGGGAGCGGTTTGTTTTTTTCTTTAATAACATTAACGGTACAAATTTTCTGCACCAGATGCGCATTTCGACAATAAATGTATCTTCAGTGATGATCGAGGCCAACATATTTGAAAATCCAAAGTTTTCTTTTTAAAATTTACCAGAAAGGATAATGTCATACCTCTTTTTTTAATAAAGCATATACAAATAATTGAATAATCATTTTTTGAAGTGTATTAAATTTTTATCTTTTAAAAAAGTATAGCCAAAGCCGACAAGAAATCAGAGCTTTGCATGAGGGAGATATATACTTCCAAAAATTTTGTAACAGCAAAGCTTAATATCACAATATCCGTATGTTCATACCAGTACTTACAGTAAGGTTGTAACCAGTACCTAAACATTGTCTAGTCAACCTGCAAAACACATCTTGTTCCACAACACATATAAACACAACGGTAATCAGGTCCGTGATGATGACACGTCGCATCATTGTGACATGACAGATGAAAACTACATTTACATCCTTGTCCAAACATGTCATCTCCCCATTTAGGAACAATAGTGACCTGCTCTTGTGACCAACCATGGACCGGTGCAGGAAGAATTGGTTGGTGTCCCCAAACAGGATGTAATTTGCCATTCTTTGTAGGTTTGGAGAAGACTGTAATACAACAAAATAACGTTTTAAAACGACGACATCAACAACAACAGCAATAAAACTACGGATAAATGCGGAAGAGCCAATACAATGAGGAAATCCAACGGAACGATTTACTATTGAACAACAACAATGCTGTTCTGATATTCTGTTATTTATTTTGGGAGTGTATTTAGTAATATGACTGATCAATAGATGTAAACATCTACCAGAAAAGACAATGTTATACTTCTTTTGTAGTAAAGTATATAAAAATAATTGAATTTATCATTTATGGAGTGTTTAAACTTTGTATGTTTACGATGAATTACGTTCTTTTTGACGTTCCTTTTAATTCGGTTAACAGTTGTTACTTTTGACAATGTGTAACATTACTTCCACACAATCTTATCAAACAAAAGTTCTCTTTTTCAATTAAATGGTTCTTTAAAAAACACCCTGTTGCAAATTTATTTGATATAAAGCCAATTTATGCTAGATATATTTTTAAGAACTGTGATGAGATGATTAAAACTGTAAATTTTCTCCTTGACAACATACATATGTAAAAGAGAGGCAAAGGATACCAAAGGGACATTCAAAATTACAAGTCGAAAATAAACTGTAAGTTACGGCAATAGCTATTATCAACAGGTTGTAGGTATTCCTCTGGCCACCAATTGCACCTTTAAATAACAGACTGGTTCTTGTATTTGTATGGCCAAACTCAGTAAAAATTCTGTGTCAATTCCATCTGTTTGAAAATTTAATAATAACACTTATCGTTACTTTGATGACATTTTTACTTTAAATAATAAAGAATTCTCCAATTGTATTGCGGAAATGTACTCAATGGAACTGATTAAATCTAGTATGAACAACAATAATTTTTCATTTCTAAATTTAGATATTTCAGATTCACAAGGAAAAATCTATGTCAAAAAGTACGATGAGATGATTTTTCGTTCCCTTTTGTAATTCGTTTTGGACGGTGATTTTATAATTCAAACAAAGTAATCTATCATGTTAACTAGTCAATTATAATGATATGGATTCCGTTACCACAAAATACTTGAATAATTTAGATACAAAAAAATGGTTTGAAAGTTTGTGTGCTCTTGTAAAAACTTTATTACAAACGGGATAGCATATCCTAGTTTTTAGCGAGTTATGTTGTTTAAAAGCCTGTACAACTTAGGTACGATCAATGTAAGTTTATTAATCCTTTGAATAAACTTATTCTTGGAGGTTAACAATTTAACATTGTAGTATGATCTTTGAATATTTTCTTTATTGGTACAAATATTGATTTGATGTTAAAAAATTAAAACATGATTAATTATGTAATGATTTACAATTATGAACACTTATAGTCCTACATCCTGTCGATACTAACATTTTGGGTTTGCATAAGGTCATATATTTCTCAGATTATTAATGATGTCTTTACACTAAATATCTTGGGTGTGTACTGATTGATATTTTAACCTATGAAAAATTTTTTATTTAAATTCGGTTTTCAACTAGCTTTCATAAACTGTCAGTTAGTATTTTAAGCTCGATACTTCGAGCAAAAGTGCATACAAACCAAATCGTGTGTGAATCAGTGAGAAAAACCGGTAATGACGTTTTAAAACTGACCGTATCTTATTATTTTTCGTATATCACATAAAAGTAGTACACACTATATATTTTTGGAATCAGTGTATGAAATAGTTTATCTTCAGTCACCGATAGTGACTCTTCAAACCGGAAGTGCCTCTTCGACCGAAAGTTACTGTGTTCTCCCTTGATTTGTAAAAAGTCTTTTCTGCATTTTTATTAAAGTTATTTGAACTGTAAGTATCAACAAATGGGAATTCAAAAGTGGAAATACCCTGAATTTTTCTGTGAACAATTGGTGTTTAATATTGTACATTTGTATGTTTGCTTAGTCGATTTGATTTAGGAGACCATTAGATTTTTTTTTATCGCTACAGATTGAAAGCTCTCTTCAACACAATTGCCTGTCTGCTTTCCTTTATACTGCAATATTTATAACAAAATACGTTTTGTTCGCTTGATCTCAGTTCGACAACCCGAAAAATGTGATAATTTCTGAATACGTCATATATAGATCTATAAAAGAACGAACACAATCGTTTTGAAGATCATTTAATATGAACATGGAACGATAAACTTTGTCTAAAAATTAGAGAAACATAAATCAAAACTAAGAAACAGAAACAGAATTCGCCACCGTATCTCGTCCGATACGATGTTTCGTTAGCCCCCAAAGGGTGACTGGTGAATACAAATATGGTCACTTAGTTATTCCTCCGACCGGCAGTAAAACCCTTGCCAAAGTGGTGCATCTGTTTGGCTGTGTAGGATGTACATGTACGCAGCCACGTCCGGTCAGAATGGGGACCTTGAATCCAGTGCCTCAAGTAGAGAGTGTGCTGCGCTCTCTGCACGTTAAAAACCTTTGCAACCTCTCTTTGAGGGGTCCGTAGATGACCAGTTACAAGGTAAAATTTCTGTTCCTATCTAGTATACCATCATTTTCCACTCCAAATTTCCCCGACCTTCATACCGGACATGCTCTATTTCAGGACCTACCTATTGTGCTTATTGTTAATTTGTTCTCGTCCTGAACATGTAATATTTGCCACTGAACGTTACACAAATAACAATCAATCAATCAATCAATCATGTTTCGATAGTTGAATTTGAATAATTAAAATGCTCAGCAAGTCTCGCGATGTAGTGGTATAATATAAATCTATCTATTTAATGAAAAAATTCTCTTCAAGTGCTTTACAAATGAATACATACCGCCTGAACTTGAAAACAACAGAAACTCTAGCAGAAATAATATCCAAACAGCAGGCGAAACCATTTTCTCTCTTTCTCTGGATAACTTGATTTTGTTAAAAAAAAAAATTGAACATCACATGTTTTACGTTAGATAAGAAATATCTTGACACATAATATTATTGTTAATACAAGTACATGAAATTGACATTTTATCAATGAGTATTCGGGATGTTTGGTGGTTTGTTTGGGTTATGATGTAATTCCTATTTGTGACAGGTATGTTGTAGACCAAAGTTTTATCATACGATAAAAATGTTTTTAAAACTAGTCATTTTGTGCTCATTTATGATGGATTTTGGAAATTCAAGTTCATTTCCTATATACAAGGTGATACGACGTGCCGCTGGAATAGGTCACCTTTTCAAGCTTCAAAATATGTGGATAGGTCGGGAAAACTATCAGAAATATATGATAAGGTCAATAAAGTTCCCATAACTTCTTCGTCTGTCATTTTTTTTGTTGGTGTTTCTCTCTTTTGACACTTTGGTATTCCACTCCTACATTGCACACCACATGAAAACCAAACAATATGGGAAAAGGTAACATTTTTACCTACGCAATATATGAAAAGGTATACATTTTTAAAATCTAAATTATATGAAAAGGGTTGGTTAACAGAACCCCAGCGGCACCCCTATCAATTAAGTATCGAAGTGGCCTCCCGGGGGTTAAGTTAGCGTATGTTTAAGAGAGTTATCTATCCTTAACTAGTTATTGCGGAATACAGTCCGTATTTGGTTTATGTATTAGTTTTTGTTCTCTGGATTTATTGTGACCATACATATACATGCGTTTGTGAAATAGAACTTTATTAACTTGAAAAGTAGTTTATTATGTATGCCAAAGTAAAGCATAAAACGATAGAGCACTCGGTTTTTAAGTAAGCACATACACTGTGGATTTTCATTTGATATATACTTAAAACAAACAACATTTAAGCACGATCATGTGAAGTTATCGCCAGCAGGTAGACGACCATGCGGTCGGACACGTGGAAAGGATTGCCTTTCCATTCGAAAAGTTGTCTCCCTCTGAAAATGCATTGGTAGACTTTCTATTGATAAATGTACGTATTTCGATGTTGGGTGATGATAAGTTTAAATACAGTGGAAAAGAGGATGACTTGTACACGAATCCCTCGTATCAAGAAATTACTATTCAGGCTAGCCTACACCTTTGTTAACAAATACCTGACGGGTAAAACATCGATAAACCATGATTCCGGAAATCTTAATTATTTGCCTGCCTTCGATGATGTAGCTAATTCTATTAACGATCAACCTCTCAAAAGAAAACCATCAAAGAAAAATAATATGGATACTGAATTAGCCTCCTGTAAAAAGTTTTCAGGATATCCCAAAGACAATGGCATCAAATTTTTAAAAGAGTTTGAATAATTCTCTACACTACATGAGCTTGATGATGCAAAAATGTTATCTGCATTTCATCCCTCGTCTCCAGGGCCCAGCGCTAACATGGTACAACGGACTAACTTCTGGTTTATACTGGGACACAATTAAAGATCGTTTTATCGCTAAATATGTTAAATTTAACTGGGAAAATCCATCCGTTGTTATTGAAAATTATTTATTCAATAATTTGAAATTGAACCCCTGACAAGAAATTGAAGATTTTTATTGTCAGCTTGTAGAAAAAGCAGAATTGCTTTCCAAACCTTAACATGAAGTTATGTCGAAATTTGTTGATGGATTTCCTGATTAACTTGCATTATGTCCGCGTAAGTAAACCTAACGATGCATGAGACGCTTTGACAATAGCGAAAACCGGCGAATCGTATAAATACAGGGAATGTGACAATAATGTAGCCGCTGCACGAGATATTTCAACAATACAATCGGAAATGTCTAGTTTAAAACATCAAAGGAATCATCTGACCGTGCTCATGAACGACATAAAAACACAAAATCAAATATACATCAATGTAAAACCACCAGGGGATCAATAGTTTTCTCGAAACACATATCCAAGCGCACCACGCCGAAATTTGCCCTGCTATAAATGTAATGGAACAGGACATTTCAAAAGAAATTGTAATTGGAACGGCACGGGAAATCTCTATCCTCAAAACATATGCCAGTTATGTACTCAAAATGGACATGTGCTTTGCAGTGTATTATTTTCGAACAAACAGTTCAAAATAATGTAACAACAACGCTGCAGTGTCAAATATGTAGACAACCGTCAATTTCAGAAGGGAAACTCTCTCCTCTTGGGGGTGACACAGCACGCTCTCCTAGGAGACAATCTATAAGTGCTTCAAGGATTCGGAGAAGATTTCGATCTCGTGTAAATAAATGTATGAATGTAAATAATCATGTTTGTGTTGAAAATACATGTACTAATGAAAATGATGTAATGACATCGTCCGAAAATGACTGTAACTGATCCCTTTATTTCTTCAGACTCGAAAATTTTATATCTGACTGTTAGTTTTGATTCTTTGAAAGTTTCTGCATTGATTGATACAGGAAGTTCAGTGAACATTATTTCAGAACAACTTTACAATTCGTTACCGTATAGTAAGAATTTAGATTTTAATGCAGATGTTCGTGAGTCTATCGTTTTAGCTAACACTCAACAGATTGAAGTTGTTGGTACGGCTTTCATACAAATGAATATTTCAAGAGGCAATTATCGTGGTTTTACTTATATTTTGAAAATGTAATCACATCCTATAAATTTGGGAATAATTTATTTAATTGCAAATAAAATGTTGATTGATTTTAGCGAAATGTTAGCTGCTCCAAAAACGGTAAATGTGTATTGTACTAAAAGAACAACGATTTTACCAAATACAGAGACAATTATATGGGGAATAGTTCAGTCAAATATTTATTATGGAAAACATGGAATGTGTACGTCTAGTAACTAGATATATTTAATCTCGAGGATTAGAGTAGTTTCTGTGTCAAAAGGTAGACTTTCACGCTAAGAACGTGAATTTAATGAATGATAGAATGGTGTAAACTATATCCGTAAACAAAACATTAGTGACTCGGTTAAGCTTGATTCTACTATTCAATCTGACAATAACCGTAAATTTGACAGTGCAATCACGGATTTTATTGCAAATTTTCTGCTTCAAAAGTCTGATCTGGACAAATTGTAACTTAACAATTTACACAAGTTTTTGTACAACAATAAAGACATTTTTTTGACAAAGAAAGATCCTTCTTTAGGATTTACAGATTTAGTTAAACATAAAATACTACTGAAACCTTATGCCAAACCGAAGTATCAGAAACCTTATCGTTTTGATAATTTGCTTGAGCAAGGAATAATTTCTCCTGTGTTTCCAGATAAGGATTTACCAATAACAAGTCCTATTGTATTAGTTACTAAGCGTGTACATGGAACGAAACATGGACCACCATATGACCAGGACTCTAGTCTTTCGCAATTTCGTTTTTGCTGCGACTTCAGATATTTAAACTCTCAGTGTCAAATCTTTTCATATAATATACCTGATTTACAAGACCTTACAGATCTTTTTCTCAAAGAATACCAAAATAACATCCATTGATATGAGTTCCGGATTTTTCCAAATGAAAATAGACCCTACATGTTCGAAATATAAGGCCTTCAATAGATGTTTCGGGACATATAAATTTAATCGATTACCCATGGGACTTAGCTCAGTGTCCGGGTTAACGTTTAGGTCTTGTCTTTGCTATTTGGACGATGTATTAATCTGTTCTGAGATATTTTAAGAACGACCTAATGATGTTTTTGATCGTTTTAGGAGTGCTGGTCTTATACTGAATCCGAAAAAGTGTCAATTTGCAGTGGAGTCATGTACACATTTCGGCAGAAGGAAAAAAAACCGCCCCAGATCGTGTCCAAGCTTTACAAACATATCCGTCACCTCGCAATTTGAAAGAGTCCGCAGAGGTTTAGGTTTATTTGATGATGGTTACGAAAATTTATTCCGAACTACAGAGAAATAACTCTAATACGGACAAAATTATTGCGAAAAAGCGCCTTATTTCAATGGAATAAAGAACAAGAAACGGCATTAAATGAACTTAACACCCGTTTGCTCAACTCGGAAATCTTAGCTTTTCCTCAATTCAACCTCCCATTTTATTTGGCTGTTGATTCATCTTCAAAAGGGATTGGTTATATGTTGTACCAAAAACATCCTAATGAAAGTACAAACTTTTAAAAAAACACAGTCGTCCTTTTTGGCTCAAAAGCTTAAAATCATTGGCAAAGGTCTTACGGTCCAACCAAACTTGAGTTATTGGGAGTCGTTACCAGCATCACTGACTGTTCAAGTTACCTAAGAGGCAATAAATTCATCGTTGAGTGTGACCACAAGGCATTGCGACCGTTAATTGAAAAGCAACTGAAAGGAGCGATATATGATCGTTGGCTTGCAATATTACAACAATATAATTTCGAAATTCGTTACAAGCCAGCTGCGCAAATGCAAGTAGTGGATGCTTATCTCGTTGCATTGATAGTGATGTGTCCGGTGAGAATTCAAGTCAGGCGGAAGATGACCTCTTTTTTCCGTATGTTCAGGAAACGGCAGAACAAATTAGTATTTCGATTCCCGTCGAGAACAATACACAAAACTTAAACTTTGTCGACTTCGAAATAGAAGAAACCGATCTTGATGCGGGTTATACAGCCGATACCGAAGATTAATATATTTCGCCAAAATTTAGCGAAAATGATTTTATTTCTGCAAATTTACAATGCCTACATATATCCCAATTGAACAGACCAAGGATGAAGCTAGAAATATTAAATTTGAATTTTTCGATTCTCCATGTAAAGATACAACTTCTCTTTTGAAACCGAAGTTGCGACCAAAACGTGAAATAATTTCCGACGGATATGACTGCATTTCCGACATTACACAGAACATAGAAAATATCAAAACCGAATATGTTCATGAAGATCAATGTTTAATACTGAACAACTTAGGCAATGATAACATTTTAAAACCGTTGAAAGTGACAGAAAGTTCCTGTTTGATTAATGAAACTAGTGAGAACT